CTCTGCAACAAAAATGTCACAAATCTCCTCACTTTTGCAAAGAAAAACTATCCATGATAAATATTAAGCCACATAATATATTGTTACAGCTTTCAATAAGTCAATATAGTAATGATAGTAATATATCAATTACATGTAATTCATTGACATGAAATTTATGCTCTGAAACAAGCTCCTCTATGTTTTTAAAGTTAAGTCACTTTCGCCATTTGGATTATGCCAGATCTCCTGTTTCCAACTATGCAGCTAACCAACTTCAGTGTTTGCAGCTGCTATTTTTAGTCTGACTGAAACCACCTCACCATCCAGCGCATCAGCAATATGAGTTCTCGTGTCCTTTGCTGGCCTTTTCTGGCCTTTTGAATACACTGTCAGATAACTTATTTTCCAGACATTTACATTATTCAAAGTTATACAGCCTGGAAGACTAAAGCTCTGATGTCCATTAGTGACAAATGTGTAAATCACACCTCCATCACATTGATTGTCTGTCTCTTTCTGGATTCCCTGTTATCTATTTTGTGTTGCTCAGTAGTGTAAACGGTTTCATCTTCCATACAAAATCTCATCTCCCATACAAAATCTTCAGGTCCCCTTGAAATTTCTAGTCATATAATTTGGAATAGGTTTTGTAGCACAGAAAATGACCAATTGTTTGAGGGTGTATCAGTTTATATTATTTTGAATATACCCCATTGGACAAAGAAAAACTAATGAAGTAGCTGTGCACCGGGATTTAGAAAGGATGTGAAAGGTGATGCATCAGTGAAGCTTTGACATTTCAGAAAACTCTTCACGACTGACTGATTCTTAAGTAAATGCAAATTCAGCTCCAGTCACCATCTCACATTGACAAATAGGGCAATTACAGCAAACTGCTTACAAACTTACTGAGACTGAATGACTCTTTAAAAAAACAAAAACAAAAACAAAAAAAAAACACTTTTTTTTCAACATTATTTCATTCAGTTTCATTTGGCTGCCAAAGTATGCATATGATAATATGTTAGCACTGGTAAATCCATAGTTGCTTTAAAAGTATTTTGTATAAATTTGTGACAAGCAGTAACTCTGTGAGCTCCTAATACAAGCTGTGGCGATGATGAATGATGAATTAAATTAAATGGTGATGAAATCCTCAAATGAAAAAGACAGACCCTGTCATGCACTTTGTTCTTTCATACCTGCTGTAATTGGCCTGACTGAAATATGTTGCAGATGGATTGCAAATGTCTGTTTTTAACATAAATTAAAACAGAACAAAGTCTGAGGTCTACTTTATCTAGGGTCTGTTCTTGTTTTTGTTTGCTTACGTAAACCCAGTGTTTAGTGTCATGATGCCTTCCTGAGTTCATTCCTAATTGGTCCCCTGAGGTGGTGTGCATATTAGAATTGTGGGTCTCAGAATACAGTGGAGCCTGGCTGTGCACCGCATTGGTTAACAATAGACAGGAAGTGACGGCCTCTAATGAATGTTCTGACAGTAATATAATTGGTAAAACTAATACATGTATTGGTGTAGTGACCAGTTAAAAGATGATAATCGCAGTGACTGATGTGGAGTGTTTCCTGGGGCAATCACAAAGCACGATCTATCTAATGGACTTAATAATTCAAATATAATTACTAGTGACTTTTATTTTTAGAAAGTAGTATTGAACTGCTAAACCTAATTTAAAATAAATTTTTATTCACTCTGGGGCTGCACAATATGACAAAAAAAAGCAATATTCAATCACTTAGTACTGCAATATATTAACACCTTTAGACAATGTTAATTCAGTTAAATTAAACAAAAAATGACATGTCTGTACTTCATTTGAGATTGGACTTGTGTGACAATCCTATATATTCTATTGAAACAAATGGAAAAAAAGAAGCCATCATTTCATGGGGTTATGTGGTAAAAGCTTTCTGCCTTTTCGATTTTACGCATTAGTACAGGCATTAGTTTAGTGGTTCAGTCATTTTGGTCTCTCCCAGTGATCCAATCCCATCAAGGACTCTTAGCAGGTCCACAGGTCTGCTCCCATTGTGCTGTGCACATGTAATGGTGCTATTGACCTGTAAGAACAAAGCATTAGTTTGCGTTGAACTCACTGAGATTTTGCCCGTCAGAGCATTTTTTTTTCAGCAAGTCTATTATCCTGCTGACTTCACTAAAATTGGCTTTTAATAAAAACAGTTGTGTATATTAGCAAAACAATTGTGTTGTACAAATAACAATATTTATCTTTTATTTATTGTTTATTATTTGTGACTGATTTGGTGTCAGGATACTAGTCTAAACTTGATCGTGGAGAGATTATCCAATATAATTTAATCTACTCACTTATGGCTATGATTTCATATACAAAAGGTTCAATTATAGTTAGCCTCCAGCATTTTTCCATGAAATGCAGTTTAAAATGCCATATATTGTATAATGTATTAAAATATTTTTATATGTTGCCTTCTTTTCCAATGTATCATCTCCAAATACTCCAATACATTCTATGCTTTACTTTTTGTGTTTTTGACAAATGTATAATCAAATGTCTAATATTTTGTCTATCAACAAAATTGATTTGTATCGTGAAGCTTTAGCCTTGCTTAGAGCAGAAGCCACAGCGCAGTGGTTTAGAGCTATGGGCTAGCTTTCTATAATTCACAGAATATTGTGTATCTGATATTTTGGTTAATTGAGCAAAGTAGTGACTGTTACGGTAAAAACAGCCACTCTTACACAGCTGTTAAAAGTAAAAAAAAAAAAAAGCTTATGTATTACCATATCACATCCAGTCTCAAAAAGTATGAATGATTTAACTGGTTTTGCTTATTTGAATACCTCAACCTTAAAATCCTAAGGGTTTTTGGCATGTTTTAATTCTGAACTCAGCAGACTGCCAATTACCTTGAACTACATTTGTTATTAATTTGCTGCTGTAACATGTTTTACACTGTGCCTCTCCATTCTGAGTCTTAATTGAATAAAACCACCCCTCGTGTTTCATGTTCTTTGCATTACTTCTAGCTGTGTTCTGGACTCATTTCATATTTCGATGCTTTTCATACGAAGCCCACTTTACTAATAGATTGTGGCCAGTGTTTGCTTGTAATACATCAGAGGAGCAGTGTTCCATTAACCCAAAGCCTCCAGTAAACTACATTAACCAACCTTAGGCGCAAGGAGCTGCTTTTGATCCAATACAGAATCCTGTGTTTTCTCTGCACCTGGAGTCACTTGACATATGTTGTTGGCATTGGTTCAGGTACAACAAAAACATATCAGCCAGAAAATCAACTAAGCTAGACTCATTTGGAATTTTTGACTGCTTTCTGTATGCCTGAATACATGTTAGCTTAATGTTGATGAGGTGAGCACACAAACCTTTTGAGTTTTTTTTTTTTTTTAGGGAACTAGCAAAATAAGACGGCATTTTGGTCACAATGGTTAGATATTTGGTATATCTTGCATGCATATCTATATGTATGATGATGATGACAATGATTGCAGAGGAATGTATATGTCCATCTCCCCTCTCCCTCCCAGTGTTCACATCAGGACTATTAACGTCGCCCGGGTTTGTCCGCCTCCCACTGTAGTGGAGAAAATCAATGGTGCTAATTATTGTCCATTACCTCAGGCTGAAAGACATCAGAAGCAGCTTGCAGTCATCCAGAGATTAGATTGAGACCAGCACTAATTAGCTTAGCCTCTTTGGACCATGAGAGGCCTCGACTCAAGGGATGTTGGGTTTTTCCACTATAAGCTCAGCCTGCTGTTATTTTTATTACTTTTGCAATAGCTATTTTTGTGCCTGATTCTTCTGAAGAAATGTTTTTCAATGTAGTTATGTGTCACTGAGTAGGCCTGTGTTGGGAATACTCCTTTTGTTCCTATATGATCATTAAAGATTATAAAGGGAGTGTCATGCAAAAATGGACTGAGTCATTCTTGTTCTGTGCTTTAAATGCAGTGTTCAGTCCAATCGTCTGTTCATAAATTTAACAACAAAAAGTTAACCTCAGTTGGAATGCATTATTTACTAGTCAGCCGTGTAGTTACTGGAGTTTCTGCAGCTATTGAGTTCAAGGTAGAAGATAGAGCTAGTCATTATCACTCTTCACAAGGGTTTACTAATGAATGAGCTGCCTTTTCAGAGGGACGTTTGATGCATTTATGTTGTTACAAGACAAAATAAATTTCAATTATTGCCACAGCCATCGATGTGGTAAGGGGTCAGTGTAGAGATGGCTTTTATCATATTTTTTTAAAATGCACACAGTATTATAATATGATTGATTCAGGCTACGCAATTTGATGCTTATCATTATCACTTCTAATAATCATATGTTGGTCAACAACAAAACAACATAGCAAATAAGTGCATCATTGTGCAAATACTGACCTAGATGCACATGTCTAAAGTCAATACAACAGCAAGCATCACAGTCAAAAACAGGCCAGATGGGGCTTTCTGTGCCATTAATTGATATGTTGCAATTTACAATAATATCAGCAATGATATGTGTATGTAGTATTTATTATTTTGGTTTATAACAAGAAGTCATCCTGGCTATAATAACTCTATTATCTGTCCTTGTTACAAATTTATACAATGACCTAAATATCTTGATAACACCTCAACTAAAAGTGGAGCAATTCTACTTTTTCATATTTAAAATGCATGGGAAAAAAAAGAAAACAAACTCTTTTTTTTTTTCTTTTTATTACATTATTTGATCCACAAATCAAAATGCATAAAATGACACATGCTTATTATGATTCATTGAACTACATGATTGAAAACATGTAAATCTGCATATAAGGATGCCACTTAACCACAAACTCTTCCTATGCAGTAATTTGATACTGAAACAGCAGTGGAGAAAAGTCAAATAAGAATGTACATTGACTCTTACTATACAAAAAGCCCAGTAGTATTTGCTTTCTTTATAGTTGCAATGACCTTCTTACTACATCCTTACTACACGTTGTTTTGTGCTTCCATGAATGAGTTGTGCTAATCATTCAAGCTGTGCACGTTTTGACACAGAAAAAATTAAATACATAATGATGTTTTCACCGCAATGTGCACACTCTCCTGTGTGTGTCATTGTTGGTGTTGTAGCAGATTTTCAGACATCCTGGTGGTCTTCTGTTACCGTGGAAACCATAGAGGCAGCAACGACCGAAGCTGGACATGGGGTGGGAGATGCCAACAGTTATCCAACTCAATGGAGAGGAAATTCTGAGAGAAAAACAGTGAGGAAACAGGAGGAAAAGGGAGGGAAAAAAAATATGGCACTAGAGGACAAATAAATACTGAAAAGTGCAAAATGTTAAAACAGTGATTTTTTAGGTTGGTGGTGCAGAGTAGACATTAGATGAGTAAATCTAAAGATGGTCAGGGTTGAATTATAAAACGATAGGTGCAGTAAAGTTCAGGTAGGAATGGTTGGAAAAGTGTAGGGAGAATTAGAAGTAATGAGTAATTACTGAAACAATACAAAATACAACAATACAAAAACATAAATAGATACACATAAACTCATTGCTAAATTCATGTTTAAAAATAAGTTTCATATGCTTAATCACCAAAACAACTGTCCACCATATTTTTAACCTTTATTGCAGGTCAACATTTAAAGGGTCGCAACACAAAATAGCAACTGCCTACAAATGTTATATATAACATTAAGATGTATATAGATTTCTAACTCAATTTCCTAAATATATTACATTTGTGTGATTGTGTGCGGATAGGATTAGACATTGATGAGCCTTGGCACAGCAGCTCAGGCTGGCTTTAGAAAACCCAGGACAGATGGAGGCAGTGAACAAGCTAACAAACATACTAAACGAACATGAGTTTCATATTCATGCATAATGTGAATTTGCTCACTTAAGGCTGATTACATTAACTTAACATACCACATGGCTCAGATTGTACTTTTTAAATTTAAAACACTTATTTTTGGTGAGAAGAGCCATCACTGAATTTCATCTTTTTGTGGATAGACATCCCATATTTGTTCAGTTTATGCTAACTACCTGCACCAAGAAGCAATTATTGCTTGTTATTAGAAACAAGTTGACATAGTTAACTTGTAATTGTTTTATTGTTTTATTTTCTCAATCTCAATCTCATTGCTTTTCATTGTTAGATATTTGTTTGAGCAAAATATGTTTTTCACACCAAGACAAATGTTATAACACCATTTGAAAACAAATAGAGTCAGTGAAATTTAGCTGAAATATTGCTGTAATTATAACATTGTACAGCTTTTGTGTTGGTGTTTATGAGGCATATGACTTTTTTATTGTTCAGATTAACACAAAATGGGAGACGTTTGGAAAAATGGGTCCAAGTGCTTCTTTATTTTCTCATGAATTATTAATAAGAGATATTTTAGATAAAAGAATGAGATGGCAAAAAATATCTTTATCATTGTGATGTTTTTCAATGATCACTTCAGATGTTTTTCTTTCTGTTTGATAAATTCAGGTTGGTTTACCACTGTCTGTTCTATTTTGAGTTCACCCTTTCCTCCCTTCAAAAACTTCATTATGTCCGTTCCAAAACCCATTGCTGAAAACATAATTGCCAGAAAAACATGTTTTGTGTGTGTTTGAGTCTTACATAGATAGAATTAGTTGTGTGATGAACTTGATAGTTATTCCACAAGCTTCAACTAAATGTTGACTTGTTTTGAAGTGTAAGCGAAGCATGAGGGAAGACCTTTTAAATATTTAGTAGCTGCTCCCCCCTCCATCTTACATAAGTACCTCTCTGTGAGAACATAACTATACTTCACATTTGGTTAACATTTATTGGGCTTTAACCTTTTGCTCAGGCAAAACCCACCCTCGGCCTGATGTAGCAGATGAAGATACTCTTTAACATATAAGATTTAAGCAGCTTGTATCAGACCATGTCCTTGAAAGAACCCTTTTTGCTTTGGCTGCAGATTTTGTGATATTTTAATATTTCACCAATAAGCCTCTTGTGGGTATTGGTCACTAAGCGTTGTCTCATCATTTGTTAAACTATAGCTATAAAAGCAAAATGAGCCTACTTATGCTTTTATTAGAAGTGGAACTAGTAGTACTACAATCTTACATTAAATAATCTTTTGTCTCTGCTTTCGCAGAGCTAGCTGCTCTGATTGAATTTCCTTCATCTTCCACGTCATTTTCGAATGTCTTTTTTTCTCTCTATTCACCTAAGCACCATTACAGTGTGGCTAAATGTCCTTTGGAATAATGTTCTATTATTCAGTGTCTGTACCTTATAGGATCTGCTTAGTAATCAGTGATTTTAGATGGTAATTTATGGTTGTGTGGTATCTTTTGTGATGATCTGCGATATCATGTTGATTTGAATAATAGCACTAAGGCAACACAGGAAATGAACAATGGTGCTATAAAAGAGAGATTAATGGCCTATAGCTGGGTGCACGTTAAGTTGATGAGGGCTTGTGCTATGTTTTAATGTTTCAGGGGATGCTTGTCTTGCCTTTCACTTTATATAGAATGTAAATCGATAAAACACGTTGTGTTTTAGCATTATGAGCAGCAATACTTTTATCCAAGCTGAATTCCATCCATGGACGCAAATCAATCCGAGACAACTCGGTGTTAACGGTGTTATGCTATGGGTATATTTCCTCTAAGACCAATTACTGAATTGTTGACATTGTAATGAGTATTTTTATTCTCAGAAATGAAAATCTACCAGGGCTAAATCTCCTCCCCTGCAGGAAGTGGTTAATAAGCCCCTATGCATTTTGCTCTGTAATGTACATTTTTGTTTAAATTAAAATGAAAACTGTAGGATTATGTAAAATGAGCTTTAGCCCTCTAGAGTAAACAGGAGGTTGAAGAGGATTTTTGTCTCACAAGCTGTTAAACCTCCTTTGCACATAATGAAATGGGCTCAGATGCATTCGCTGCCACCAGTGTGGGAAATATAAGGACACTTGAGTAAATGCTAAACAAATAAATCTTAACTTATGGCAGGTAATAAACTGGCTTGTTGTTTTTAAACCATATGTGCAATTCACTTACAGTGTTTCCCTGGAGCCTTTCAGACTGATATATAATCTCACTTTAGTGGATAACAAATGCTTTGCTTTGCCATTGTTTCATGTAATTTATGGTTATCCCACATATTGATATCTATTTACTTAATCTTATAAAAACTTCACGCTTGTGTTACATAACTCCAGTGTCGCCAGAAGCATGTTACAAAGAGTAGCATGAGAGAGTCTTTAATGAATGTTTAAACAAAGATGATCATTGACTTTCTGATTGTATTTGGTGTATCATTGAAACTATTTTGAATCACCTGATCTTGACCTGATATGATAATGTGGTTCACATAGTTGGGAGCTGACACAGCTAAGGGCCATAACCATCCAGTGGCTGTGATCATCATTAACAAGGTCGCAGGGGCCGACACGGTAAAAACAACAGGCTGCAATGAAAGTAATGTTGCTAATTATGACAGCAGTAGTCATATAATATCTGTTATATGATATTATAGGTGATGTGAATAACCCAAAGCTGGGGCTAATCTTATTATCTGTATTGAACTGAAGATTACATTTTAGCAATAACAAGAGAAAGGAAAATCATTATGTCATATACTACTGAATTTACACAACCCAGCCAAAGTATTATTGTTCGAAACTGCAACATCAACAGACACACACAAAAGCAAGTATATTACAAAGATTTGCCAAATGGTTTGGTAATGACATTATACAGGTCAAAACTGAATTTACAGGCTTTTGGTGTCTGGCATTTCTTTGACGGATGCTAAAGTGACTGCATGCAGTTCTGTAAGCAACAATAGACATTATTTTTATTTTGTTACAAACAATAACAAGGCAGACATTCATCTGGAAGGATACACAGGTTTATTGACATAGGGAAGCAGACAAAATACTTGAGTGGAGGGCATGAGGAGCAGAGGTGGTGAAGAGAAAGATGCAGTGGATACAGTGTAGACAATAAGTAGGAAAACAAACACGTCTTTCCTGATTGTCTTATGTCAATCCTTCATAAATTTCACAGAAATTATGGAGTTCTTTTTGTATTCAGTGTTCCACCATTTACTTGTCTGATGAAGGAGAGCAAAATCTTACAATTTCCAAGTTAATACATCCAAGATTTACTTTGCTTTATCTCATCTGAACATTTGGAATGGTTTTCATTTTAATTCCATTTTGTTTTCCAGATTCTGACTACTGAAGACAGGGATGCAAGGGAGAGTGGGAGAAGGGAGGGGGGATTTAAAGTCAAACCTTAAAAGAGTTACTATATTTACTCACTGAAAGCTCATCTGCTTGTCTACTCTAAAACATTTTACTGTGAGACTGAGCTACACTATGCAATGCTGTTTGGCTCTTGTTGGCTGCCACTCTGAAAAATATAAAAGCTAAAATGTTTACAAAAATCATGTCTATCTCTATACGAGACAAAAAGGCATCTGAAGTAAATATTATCTTAAAGGTACAAGCCGTGCTTAAAGGGACTGCTCTGTGCTCTGTTTTCAGTCCGTGCACGTTCTTCCTGAAATGCACTTCCACCCATGTCTGCATGTCTGTTTTTTAATGAGATTTACTACACCCTTTTCACAAGTTAATGTCTCACGATGATATGGGTGTAATTATTAGTCTTAGCTTCTTGATTTTCTTGATTTTGCCCTGATTTTGCTTTTAAATCTTATAATTAAACTCCCTCTCAAATATCTGTTTTTTCGTTGCTTTGGGTTCTGTGTAATCACTATTCTCTATGATTCGCTTTCAACAGAAGATAGCCTTTCACAGTGCATTGGTTCTTGGCTGTTGAGTATGGTTGGCAGACCTGGACTAACAGAAATATATTCTTACACTTCTCTTTTGAAGTCTAGCTCTTAGCATCAAAGCTTGATTACTTTAGTGCTCAGGTCTAGTGCTGAGTGCTGTGGGAGGTGCTGAGGAGGTAACTGACAGGCAGAGGAAGAGTGAGCGAGAGGTGATATTAGTGCCATTCAGACTGCTATCTCATTGCTACGGTAACATGATGGGTGTGTCTGAGAACACTGACATTATCGAGTCTGTCTCCCCTGCTTTCTGCTGGGATTGGTTTGGGAGTTTTGACTGGTGCTCTGCTCCTAAAATTAAACCTGGCCCCAAATGTCCTTGTCCTGTCCCAGTGCCCTGCCCTGCCCTTATTCTTCCATTTTGCTGCTCTAGTATGGGCTCTAAAAACACTACATGCTTGTTGGTACTGACCTTGCGACCAGGGCCTTCAGTTGTCGTTGGAGGAGTGGGGGTGAGAATAGAGGATTGGGCACTCCCTGCCCCTGCCTCATTAGTCTGACCTGGGATAGTAGCAGGAGGAGGAGGGGCTTTTCGACAGGGAGGGCAGCGGCAGGGTGTCAGATAAAGGTACATGAGGACTAGGACCAAGCTCACCACACAGCCCAGCAGAGTGGTGAAGCCAGTGTTGAATGACTCATGGGGTTCATGACTCTGGTGCATTACCACGGTCAGATTCACCTCCCTGGTTTCATTGCGCTGTTGTCGATCGTCCACAGCCATACACAGGTACATGCCAGAATCTGCTGCACGGGCATCCCTGATCTCTAAGCTGCCATTGCTGTACATTTTTAGGGAGTCACTGTTTCCTGGGGGTGCCACATACTCCTGATGTGGTGACACCCAAAAGAAGGTCACATGTTGTCCTGTCAAAGTAGTTACACAGTGCAGCAGAACTGCGCTCCCAGCACTGGCCAAAACACTCCCCTCCTGCTCTGTGAGGGGCAACTTCATCCCAGTGAAGTCGCATTTTTCAAAATAACGGTCATGCTTAAAGAAACGCACAGTACCTTTCTGCATCCCATAGACGAGACATGTGTGCTCCTCTTTATAATCTGTTACTGAAGTGAAGTTTCGCTCTGCCCATTTATGGAACAGTCCGTACATAGAACAATCACACACCAGGGAGTTGTTGTGAAGGTAGAGTCCCTTCTGCACTGTGATGGGTAAGTTTGATATGTCCTCCAGGGGTAGCTTAGGCAGACGATTTGATGACAGATCAAGCAGGACTAGTTGTGGATGCGTGTGCTTTTGTATCGAAAAGAAAGGGAAATCAGTGAGACGGTTATGGCTGAGGTAGGCCTTGCGAAGGTTACTTAGTTTGGCAAAGGCTGCACTTTCAACACGAACAATACGGTTGTTGAAGAGCAGCAGTTCCTCCAGTCCTGGTAAGTCTATAAAATAATGTTGCTCTAAATCACACAGATGATTTGATGAAAGATCCAAATGTCTGAGCAATGTTCCAGAGCTATTATGAAACGCTCTTGGCTCAATAGAAGTCAGCTGATTATGTGATATCCGTAATGTTTCCAAGCGAGAAAGCCCCAAAAAACTAGCCTCCTTCAATTGTGCAATCTGATTATGGCTGAGATCCAAAGTGACAGCAGAGACAGGCATTTCTTTAGGGATTTGCTCCAGACCCAGGGCAGTGCAGCTGAGGATGTCCGAGGCGCAGAGACATCTTCCCTCTTGGGAAGAGCCATTTCTAGACTGGCAGATGCTTGGTTGGAGGCAAACTAACAACACAACTGGCCACCAGAAAGGGGATGCTATTAGAACTGTTGGTACTACCACACCATGAAGAAAGCCTTTTTTGACTTCAGTAGATGACATTATGCAACCAGCAGCATTGATAAGTTTTTTTATGGCTTAATACATAGATTCCTCCCTTTGCTTTTTAATGGTTGATAGAAAAGCCATTTTATCTAATTTCACATACACCATAAATTAATTGTTGTGGTACTACATGTTGCACTACATGCTCTTTTAGATTCATATTTGTGATTGTTTGTTTTGTCAAACCTTGTTCATTTTAAACAGGATTTTCATCTGACTTCTCCTGCCATATGGATTGGCTTCATGAAAAGGCACAGTTTCTAAGCTGCAGTCTCTGGTACAGATTTTGTTTTCGTTTTGGGTTTGGATATTCCCTGTAAGTATGTCTTTCAAAGGGAACAATGCATACAAAAAGGTCTATTAGACTAAAAAAAAGCCTGTAGGACTGACTTTAATTACAGCGTTCACTCAAAGTTGTCAATACACATCCTGATTGTTTTTTCTTCAAGTGGAATAAGTTTTCTTTTCAGATCACATTGCTTCAGGTTCTTTGCTTGAGATGCTGTAAGCCTCCTTTTCCACATGAGCACGCACACAGTTGCTGTTATTGAGCTTGTATCAAAGTGAAAAAAGCTCCTCTTAGTTGTTGCATTGCTTGTTTTCACGCCAAGTCGAGTTTTGTGAATCACGGCCCCAGCTGTCTGACGCCCACAGCCTTTTAGCCGAGTCGCAGATCAGATATTCAACCAAGTCAGCATCCTGTCCACTTCACCCGCACGGTGGCCATTTCGAGGGTTCACACATCACACACAAATTATTCTTGGTTTGTCACTCCTTTGGCAGAACCTTTTCATTTTGTTGAAGCTGTGGGTGGTTGTTTTCCGACGGCTAAAGAGTTAAGCTTTTGTGCTTACTAGATTGCATATTTCTTCATCTGAGGTTCAAAAATAAAAGCCACATCACACCCATGCAGTAAAAAGTTAGGCTTAGTCCGAATATGGAGTGTCCAAACTTGACGGCGCTGGATTATGCACGCTGTCTTAACGCTCATGTGCAGTGGTCAGTCTCTCGCCCGTCTGTTCAGTTGAGTTGTGAGTGCCGTCTGTCGCTTTCGGTGCTTTCCCAGTTCTTCCTCTCCTCCTCTCCTTTCCTCTCCTCTTCAGCTTCAGACTGCTCACTCCTCCTCCTCCTCCTCCTCCCTTTCAGCCCACTACAGCATCCTCCGCCCTTCTCAGACGCCGATGATGTTTGCTCTTTTTCTTTAGGTTCGGACTGCGCTCTCTCCCTGCATCCGTCTGTTTGTGTTCTGCACTCAGACTTGGTTGTTTTCATCGGTCTCTCACTCTCCCTTGCTCTCTCTCCCTCCCCTCTCCCTCTTTTGCACGTCTCTCGCTCTCATCTCTCACTCTAGCTTTATCTATCCCCTCCCCTCTGTCTCTCTGCTTTTCAACCAAGTGGTTCACATTGCCACGGGAGGCGCTTCAGAGGGTGATTCTGGAAGGCTGTCTTTTCTTTTTTTAAGCTTTTAGAGCACTACCTACAAAATGGAGTCATTTTTTAATTATTATTTTTTTGTTTTTTATACTTTACATTACTTTTTCAATAATTTACAAACGTGTAAAAAAGTATAGATATAATTGTAGATTATTATGCACATCCAACTTTTTTTTTTTTTTTTTTCATCAAAGGGCCCATATTACACTGTTTTTTAAATTTATGTTATAATGTTGTTTTCTCATCAAAAACATACCTGGACTTGTGTTTTGTTTCATACAAACATGTTTAAGACAAAAACCCTGCATATTTAGGCTGAGTTCTCCTCTCAAATGGAAAACACTCTGTTACACTTTGTGATGTGTAATATAGGAATTGCCCCGCTATGTTTTTAAACTCCATACACCTTCACTAGAATCATTTGGATCATTTCAGCCCTGGAATTGCCCACTACTGCTTCATGACATCACAAGCTGTAAACAAAGCATTTTAAGCTTTGAAAATGTAGACAGACTGATAATAAAGGATTACTCAAACCTGTGTGAATGAAAAAAAAAACACTCCAGGTATGTTTTTGATGAGGCAACAATTTTCTTAAATGCCTTAAATCTCACAATAGTCAATTTTGTGGAATACAGGATCTTTAATTCCTTAGGAAAGAAAACAAATCTGATCTGGAAGAAAATGAGACAAACAGCTGGTTGCATCTCAAATCCTTTGAAATAAAAGTAAAAATAATACAAATTTACCCTTTGGAATAAACATAGGTATTTTGACCCATAAAACTCTACGTGTTTAATCTCTCCAATTCTAACTTTCTAAAAGTCTTGATGAAACCTGCAATTTGCTTGGCTAATGTAAGTTTTTAGCAAGGTGTTCTCTTTTGGTAAACACATGTGCTCTCATAGTCATTATCAAAACAGGCTCTTCAAATACACAATACCTTTGCAAACATAGCCTTTTTTCACAAATGCCTTTGTTAAAGAGTATTTGCAGAGTGTAAATATCTCATTTCTTCATGGGATGTGTGGTGAAACAGAAAGGTTCAGTAAAGCAAAAACACATATGTGCATGTATGTATGCCGTATTTATATTTTGTGAAATGAGCTCTAAAATTATGAACAGCGTCTCTCCCCAAATAAGCGCTGTCCCAAGTAAGTGTTTAAGCTCAAAATACGTGCTTAATAACATTTTGGAATTTCAGGTTCATATTTCTTGACATACGAAAATCTTTTTATGAAAATGCATAAAAGCTCTGTGACCTTTTAGATAACCTTCTGCAAAGCCAAGTTGTCAATGTTGGCTGCAGAACAGATGAAATGGAAAAACTGATATGAAAGAGGACACAATATTATGCTTAAAACTAGTCAGTTACACAAATGCAATACAGGCTGTCAAATACAGTTAATACACAAGACTGGAGGCATTTCTACGGTTCAAAGGAGCCCTGTATCATTTGCAGCTGACATGTTGACGCTAATGTGCAGTCCAATGTTGATGCACTTTTGCTTTGTGGCTAGTTTGTGCGCGCTGAATTCTCTTCCAACCCGCTTTGCATTCTCAGTGGCGGCGCCTGTTCTTTGCTGATCTCCTGTCACAGAGGATTAAGATGAGAGCCTCCGAGTCACAGCCATAAATTTGACTTAAAAAGTGAAAACCGCGATACACCACAATTCTCATTCCACAGATATGTCAGTATTATCTTGTCATTTGATTACCTAAATCTGAATTTACAATGGCTTCATTAGACATGTAGATGTTTAGCCGGAACAATTTGCATCTATTTGCTTTGTGTTCATTGATTTATGGATGCACCCCAGAGGTTATTGAACACAAAAGCTGTTTAGAATTTGTAGTGATGTTAGCGTTGCCACTATTGTGACTCTACTGGCTGCTTTGACAGGTAGCTATTTATCATTCACAGTTTCAGAAAACAGCTATAGGATAACTTGCAACATAAACATATGTATTTGACGAGTAAAACCCCTCACTCACGAAGACTAGTCAAGCACTTAAGCCCCATTATAATTGTTATAAAAATTCAACACGATCCCTTGAGCAATTTTGAACACCCACAGTAAATTAGTCTTAATATTTTGCTAATTCTCCGAATGCAACAATCAGATGATATTTTTACAATCAAAACTGACCTAATATTTGCAGAATGTACACTTGTTTGCAACTTAAATGGCCCATATTATGCAATTTTCTGATCTATGTTATAATGTTTCCTTATTTTGTTTTGTTTCATTCACACACAAACCCTGTATTTAGGCTGCTCCACTGTGTTTTTAAACTTCATACGTGTTTACTGAAGTTATTTGGACAATTTTAGCTCTGGAATTTCCAATCTTTACTGAACAAAAGATAAAAGGTAGCCGTTAACTTGAAAACTATGCCTTCATCACAAAGTGGAACAGAGTGATTTGAGCTTTGGAGTTACTAATACAGAATAATACTCAAACATGCATGAATAAAACAAAACACAACTCCAGATATATTTCTGATGAGGCAACAACATTCTAACATGGCTTAAAGCTCACAAGAGACATACCTATCTATTTGCAGCTTTTTTTTTCAGTTTTCACATTTCTGACAATACTCTATAAGTGTATTTGCACTGAAACCAACAATTTCACCATGATCACTATTTTTATCAGTATACAACCCTATGCAAATATGTTGGCCAACCCTGGCTACATAAAACTGTAAATTTCTCAGCGTTAAGCACTGAAAAATAATCAAGTTTCTATATTTCACCTCTTTAAAAATACCCACAATCTTATAACCCTGTTAACCACCAAAACATTAAAATTATAAACGAATTAGAATTAGATTGTTGTTTTCCAGAACTCGTCTTGCCAACTACTTTTATACATTCATGCTTATACAATTCACCCTTAATTTTCCTTGTCAGTCTATAAAAGCGACGTCCTTTTGTTAGATCACAATTAAAGTCTGACACAATGGAGACATAACTGGTGACATTTTCCAGCCCTGTGCTCCGACTCATGCTGATCTTCTTTCCAATGCTTCTGAGCACAATCCCTTCCCATTCTTTTCCTCCTCTTGAATGAATCATTTCGGTACGGCAAAGATCAATCACACATGGTTGCATTATTAAAGCTCAACAAGAGGAATTCATGGAGGGATGAGACAAGCTGCTCGTCAAAGGGGCTGGCCTGGAGAGCGTCTCTGTGTGAAGTGTCAAATCTTGCTGTAGTGATAAGGTCAGAATACAATTTTTGCAGGAAAATGTCACTGCGTCCCCTCTGTGGACACTCTAGATTTAGGCCGTCATCGTTTGGCTAGCTTGGTACAAAATGTGACAGAAAAAAAGTACAAGATGATACGTAACTTGAGGGGTAGACCTGATCACACCTCTTTTTAGATTTTTTGTCTATTCCAGGCATGTCCAAACTATGGCCCGGGGGCCAAATGTGGCCCTCAGACAAATCTTTCTTGGCCCTCAGGCTTCCAGGTGAATTGGCCCAAATTACCTTGCATCAATTAAAAATTAACTTTTTACTGCAAGTTTTTTTTGAAAATCTACCTTGAGAAAGCGCATATTTAATATTTAGTGTGTGGTTTTAAGTATCTTAGAATGAGCCATTAATCTTTATTCTTTCTAACGTGTTAAACATGCACATATTTTAATTATTCACTTTATTGCGCTCCAGTCTACGGCCCTCAATCGGCCTCTGCTTCGTCTGTCTTTAGATATGTGGCCCTTGAAGAAAAAAGTTTGGACACCCCTGGTCTATTTAACAGTCACACACACATTTAAACAAGCTGTAAACACCTGACAACATTAGATAACATAGAGTTCAAAAACACTCAAAATCAGACCATGCTGTGTTTTGATTCTTTGGTCTGTATCACTAAAACACTGTACCCAAATACACAACCTATCTATAGTGATCATTGTACTTCTTGAATAAGTCGTTCAGTGTTTTATAAGTGATAAATAAACAAGAATAAAGCAAAAGCCAAAAATGTTACCTTTGTTTTTCATTTTGGCTGCAGCTCAAATCAAGTATATGGCTTATGTTTTGGATTGCAGTTTTACAACATCAAATCAGATTATATGGGTCAGGACACTGACATGTTGATTTTATTACCTACGTGTGCCATTGCATATCATTGCCACACTCTGTCTCACGCTGTGAGACTGTGAGGGAATAGTGGGTGGTAGCAGATATTTTGTTCCAGCATGTTTGCATGTTTACATTAGCGATACACATGCATCTGTGTGAACTAAAATATTATTTTCCTGTTTAAAATGTGTTGGCTAAGGAGAAGTAATTGTGCTATTTTATTCATGCTTGTTAATATCATTTAAGTTATGAGTCTTTTGAAACAGAAAATACAGCATGAAACCCTTCATCGTAGTTGAGAACACTAGTCAGTTGCTATTTTGTTTTTATATTTTTCTTTACATTTGTGATTGTTTTTCCCATCAAGAAAGTAGGTTTTCCATAACTGTATTAAAACATTATTTACAAAACTTGTCATTCTTTATTTCCATTAACACTGTCAGTTTGTATTTAAGAGGCATGTTGTAGAATATGAGAAGTCTGCCTCTCTTCAGTAAGTGACACTGAAGCCAACATAATATCAGTGAAGAAAGTGCATGGACTTAGTTTGAAGTATATCTGAAGGACAGCAGAGAAAAGAGGAGTGTAAACATGCAGAGAAAGACAAAGGAGAGACTGGAGCTGTTTGGAAAAAGCCAGTGTGTGGGAGTCAGGTCCTGTGGAAAGCCCCGCTATAAAAGATTGATGTGTAGAGGTTGGATTGAGTGGCGCCGCAGGGGAGAGAAGAACAGAAGGGAAAAAGAGAGTTAAGGAGGGGGCTTTCATTAGCGAGAACACCAGTGATTGAGTGCTACATAGATCGTAAAAAGGACCATTGGTGAGAAATAGAAAGCGGTAGATAATGCTAGAATGCACGTCTTTCAATTCAAGCTCAGGCGACCAGGTATTAGATGGGAGAAGTAAGTACAGTGCATTTTAAGTATATCTGAGTTATGAATACCACAGTCAACATGGTATGGTGTATTGATTTTTGTGGCCACATCGAGCTGATGTAGCCACATTTTAGTTGTGTAAGATGTTGTTTTTGTTACGCAGCACATAATGAGTACGTCTAATGAGCAATGGTCCTTTTACCTGCCCCTCAGCAACACTAATGCCCATTACAGCTGTCACAACCTCTTCCTGAGAAAATCTATGGGGTCAACACTCTGGTCTGCTTTAGAGGTGTTCCCAAGCCATTATTCCAGCCCTGAGATTTGTTCTGTTAAGACTTCACAGGGAATGGGAATTCTATTAACAGTTGTTTTCTTCAGTCTAATTGTATTTGTAAATAAATGTGGGAAATAAATAAAAATGAATAATATTGCAATGGTAGTTTTGAAGATATCCTAAATAATGTTATTGTGGATACAATTGTGGATAAATATTAAATAATAAGGTGTAATAAGGTGGTAAAGTGATATTTACACATTTGTGTGTGTGTATGTCGTGTGTTTTCAGTCTACTCATGTGTTTGTAATATTAGAACCTCAACCACAACATTTATAGGCACATTTCTGATGTACTCTGTGAATAATTGATCACGATAACCCTAAGAAAAAAAAAAGTTGATACTGACTTTTTTTATATTGGTCACTCCTATTTGTTAAAGCAATTCATTTTTAGACCCTTTTTACCATTTTCTGTTCTTCAAAAACATGACACATATCTCCGTTTGCTTTTTAGGACATCACGAGCTGCATCAGTCCTGCTCTCTGACCCCTGCTTCCAGCTCCACTCTATCCAGCACCTCTTAGGGGAGGGAGGGGAGTCCTCCACCACCACAACCGTGACCTCCACCACTCTCCCTGTGGTGGGGTCTTTGAGCTCCTCTGTCACACCTCCTGCAGCCACAGCACCTGGCTCTACAGAGCGCAAGCACTTTTCTCTTCATGCATGTAAGTAAAATCATAAGTTAGGCTTTTACCCTAATGCTTAAATATTTGTTGTAGTCAATTTATAGGGGTTGGAATACTAAAGGACATTAAGTGGCTTTTTTACAGCTGCTAAATTGTAGCTGGTTTGAAGAGGCAGTAGGTCTCTCGAGATTTATCAGTTTATCTTTAGGACCATTTGCTTATAAAGTCAGCTTGGCAAAGTTTCTACTTTGGATCATAGCCCGGAATATCCCTAATAAGATTTAGACTGCACTTTAATTCTGTTAAGGTCTGTAGTGGCATTTGTCATGGAGCTGTGCTTGGCCTGTCCATAAGATACTTTCCTGCTTTGCATACACTCAGTACGGAACCAAGAGGCCTTGACTCATATTTTATCAAACAAGACAAATTATCTGCTGGGGTTTGGACTATGAAAAATTTATTTAATTTTTGTGTAGTAGAATCACAATTACTTCAGATATCTAACAGTTGTGACAGTAAATGGATTTGGAAAATAGTCCTCCAAAACTTAAAACACAATTTATAAACAACTGAAAGAGAAACCACAATATAATCCAATATGAAAATATATCCTTCATTCATTGTAACTGCTGAATATACATTGAGATTTAAAATGCAGCAGTAAGAAACAAAGAAGATAGATTAATTCATTCTCATACTTTGGAATCATTTAGTTTTGAGGGCCTATTTTTTATTTTAATTTTTTTGTAAAATTTGTCTTTGGTGAAAATTAAAACCCTTGTCTATCTGTGAGGGTAAACCATGGATCTGTTAAAGTAACTGGATAGAGTATTGCTAGCTTAGAGCTGTCTTGAGTTGACTTAGTGGCCACTGGCCACTCATTGGTACTTCAGCAAAAAAATCCCTCCTGCTCAGAAATGATAAATTATTTTTCCCATAAAGTGCAATGTAATGACAAATTGCTCATGTTCGGCTGACAGGGAACATACAGCTTTGAAATAGGTTGGATTTTGAGGCGATTTTTGTACCTATTTTTAGATCGTAAACTTTTGACTTAAAAACAGCTTTATAAGCATTAGCTCTGGTGTCACTCTAGCTACTCTCACTCTGATTGGTCAAAGTGGTCATGTGATATATAAGACTGCGCTCCTTGTACGTGCTTCCGTGTGTTCATGTGTGCCTGAGAAAAGAGTATTACTGTGCATGTTCAATGGGCAGAGAGCCACCGGAAGTACCTGGTCGGGCTGGGCTAATCTGGAGACATGCACCATTGTGCTGGGACCATTGTCTTGAATGGACGTCCATGTTTAGACCTTGGGGCTTGGGGTAAACTCTAAGTTGTGAAAAGCACGGTGAATAATTATGATACTCTGAATGGATTAGGCAAGTGAGCAATAAATGTTGACTGCTGTATTTTAAAATGAAGTAGTTCTATTATTAACCTTTTTAAGACCATAAAAGTCAGGTACAGTGCCTTATTGAAAGAAATTACTGACCTGGCAGCACTGATATCACATTAAGGCTAGGGTCTTTCTGTATTTACTTCCGAGTTAGTCCTGTGTTCACAATAATAATAATTTACATAAAAAAAAGCTTTGGTTCACCCACATTCAACCCCCCATTGATCTTTTTGTTGAGATATTTAGGGAAAACTTCAAGGCTTCCAGAGATAGAGCCATGAATAGAGGAGAAAGTGTCAAAGAGGCTGATCAAGTGGAACAGTGAGAGACAGATGAAGACCAAAAGAAGCTGAAAAGGCAACACTCAAGGAGAAGTGCAGAGCAAAAAAAGAAATCTTAGTTTAGTTTGAATGTAATGTAAATGCAGTTATTTGTGATATACGTATACCGTGAAGATACTGTATACACAAATGTAGTTCTGTCACATTCAACACTGTATGATATCTAGCTTTTAGCATTCAGAAGTAACTAATATCATGCTCAGCAACTATTGCTTTTATTATGTTAATGCAGGTGCATGTGTGTATTTGATAGGTGCAAGATTCACATACATAAAGCCCACAAAAACAGCTCATGTGAAAAGGTTTGATCAATATTTCACTTAAACACAAACTATGTTCCAAATACAAGATTAAATGAAAAGCCAGCTTGAGCCTGTGTATTTAGAAATTCAAGGTAATTCATTGTCACAAATGACAAAACAGATTTGCAGATTTTTTGATACATCTTATTTTTTGCAGACCATTTCCCTTTGAGTTGAACTGTCAATGACGGCTTTCATGGCACCATCAGGGGTATTGTCCCATCTTTTGAATATGGGATAACATTTTTCATTAAACAAAGTATGATACTGGGTCTTTACATTATAGAATCGTGCATATAGATCAGCTAATTCAGGGTGGTTAAAATTGTCCAATGCACTTTTGACACCTGCTACCACATAGTGTAGCTGATATTCAAATTTATATATAACAATTTCCTCATGGATTTTCCCCGTGTACGTCTTCATGGATTAATGCAATTGTAGGACTTGGTAACAGTCAGGAGTTAATGCCATGGAAGGCTTTCACCTTTTGTTAATAACCAGGTCCATATCTACACTAGCTTTCCTCCTCTATGTGTGAACATCTCGGGTAATGATGGAGGAGGAGAAATGGGTTCAGGTTGGTGATACCTTCACCTCTCTTAAGTATGTAAGTGATTGTCCAGATAGGCATTTTCACCTCTGTGGTTTAATATGCATTTTAACACGCTGTGTAACACAATTTGCAAGAATTGTATGGGCTGTGCATATTATATTTTCTTATCAACCATTATTTGTACTGTTGAATAATTCACCAGAAGATAAAGCTCCGAATACTCCAGCTGATACCTCAATGAATGACACTTTTGCTTTCGGTGTAAGACATTCTTATCAAGGATGTTACTCAAGAATGCATCTTTTTGTCAGTGTCTTATGGTTACTTCTACTGGGCTGGAGTTATTTTACATAATTTAGTTAAGTAAATAAGTACATAAACAAAAACAATTACAATTTATTTTAATTCTTGTCAAAATGATTATAGGGATAAAACTCAGCCAGCTCAAAACTAGGTCAAGAATAAATCTCTATCGAGAAATTTTCCACAGCACTGTTTGCATGTTGCTTTACTCCCTGGATCATTCATATAGGACTGTTGTATTCAGTGCACATTTAATAAAATAGCTGTAATTACATCTCCTTGCATCAGCTAATGAACACACGCTGGCCCGACACGATAAGACTTATTAAGACTTTTTTTTTATAATGCATCTCAACTTCTGTGAACAATAGAATCACATTAATTTTATAGAAATGTTGTAAAGGTTTTTGGTCATGCAGCACCAGTTGACCTATACTATAGTGTTGGTGACTACTGAGAACCCTTGAATACTTCCCTTACTGAATATGTTTGGAATGTAAAAGTTATTCCTCTAGAATGGTTATGCCTTGTCCCAGATTATACCATGATCATGGCTTTCTTAGGAGAAAATCTATGTGTACACAATTTTTGGGCATCTGTTAATTTGCAACTATTACGCAACTAAATGAAATTTTTCCCATCTCACTTGTTTATTTTCATCTGTCAGATTAGTGTAAATCTTTACAAATAAACATTTCTGACATAAAAAAAAGATATGTTTTATATCTGTGACCAGTATAGCCACCCTTCTCAATAATGGTCATAAGACTTCCATTCATGGAGTCATGGATCAGTGTCTTGATCAACTTTTTGTGCAGCAGCAACGACAGCCTCCCACACACTCTTCAGAGAGGTGAACTGTTTTCCTTCTCTGTAAATCTCCAATTTAAAAAGGGCCCACAAGTTCTCAATAGGCTTTAGGTGAGGTGAGGAAGGGGGCCATGTTTTTATTTTTTCATCTTTAAGGACTTTACTGGCTAGCCACACATTGATGATGTGATGGAGCATTGTCCTCCATTAAAATCATGGCCCATACCAGTACCCCACCTCCACCTTACTGGTGTCGCAGTCGAAGTGAAGCTCTGTGCCCATTACTGATCCAGCCACAGACCCAAGCATCTGGTCCATCAAGAGCCACTCTCATCTCATCAGTCCATAAAACCTTTGAAAAATCTGTCTTCAGATATTTCTTGGCCCAGTCTTCACGTTTCAGCCTGTGTTTCTTGTTCAGTGGTGGTCGGGTTTCAGCCTTCCTTGCCTTGACCATTTCTCTGAGCACTGAACACCTTGTACTTCTGGGAACTCCAGGTTAGTTGCATTTCTGGAATATGACGATGCTGGATGATAATGGGTTCCTGTTAGCTTCATGTTTGATTATTCCCAACTCTCTTGCATTTAATTTGCATCTTTTTCTCTTAACACATTTTTTGTGACACTGTTGATTGTTTGTAACAGTGGTTCTGTGATCATGCCCCAATATCTTTGCAATTTCAAGAGTGCTGCATTACTCTGAAAGACTTTTTACGTTTTATTTTTATTTTTTTTCAGTCAGTTAAATCTCTTTCTTTTTTTTGCCTGAGGAAAAAAAAAGCTACCTAATAATTCTGCACACCTTGATATAGGGTGTTCATCTCTTTATGCCACTCCCTCCCTCTCTAGACAAATACTCATCACCTGATATGCTTAAATCCAGTAAGAATTCAAATGTATACAACTTGATGTTGGCCAGTGCATAAAAATCATGATATGGTCAAAATACTCACTTGCCTAATAATTGTGCACACAGTGTATATATAGTCTTTATATAATATTTTGCATCCAACAACAGCATTCCTGTATGTGCCTCTGTGTATGCAGTGTATACTCTGTATATTATCAGCTGGATTGACCTAGGAGTGTGGGAGTTGGTGTTAATGAATGTACTCCACAGCGTGGGAAAGCAGGTGACCTTTACTCTGTGCATTTACACAAAAATTGTCCATTCTAAACAAGTTAATAGATTTTAACATCACAGCCACATCATATTTTAACATCACAGCCACATGTGAGATGGCTGTTGTTTTGATATTGGGTTATACAAAGTGTATTTAATACAGTTGAGTAGCCAATAATGCAAATGCTGAAATGAGGCTTTAGAGATCCATGTCAGACATATCCTCCTCTATTTCACCATGATTACTTTCTGGTGTTGCATCAGAAGTAGAGGCAAATAACACAATGTAGCGGCCAAAACTTGCCCTGTGCAAGGTCCACTATGGCTGCAGCGTGTGTGGTGTCTCGGACGCGTGTCTTCCATAAAGAGAGAGTCCAAATACTGTGTTCCTCAGCATTTATTGGCGTACCTTATAGCCATCCAAAAATACACAGATTCAGCACTCAATATATCACGACGACGACGACGTTCAAAAGACTGTATACCTCCACAGTGCAACACCTGTGTGTGTCTTTCTCCCCCCTTATATAGGGCGGCAAATTGTGTAACAAATTACAAGTAGCGCCGCACAGTGGCAGGAGGTAGACAAGTGTAAAATGGTTCCAACACACAATATGGAAGTTCCCCTGTAAGTAAGTGTACAATTACCATAAAAAATAAAATATATAGTCTCAAAATTCAAGATATGGTGATTATTGTGGGACATACAGTTCTATATCTGTTTACATTTACTGCAGTGGTTTTCAGGGTATTCATCTGTTCATTTTCCAATTGTTGTATAATCTGTTTACATCCTGCAGCCTGCTAATGATGTGTAATGAAACAGAACTAGGAAAAGAGTACCAATTATTGCTAATGACTTTGGACTCAATAAGAACTGCTTGAAATGCATACTTTAATTAGGATAACACATTTGGTGGTGAGAACAAATGCAGTGTAAATAACAATGTAGGCATCTCACTAGGTCTGAAAATAAACATGGTTGAAGCTGTGCTGACCAATTCTTCAGTGGTCTTAGCAAGTGATTCTCAAACTGTGGTGTGCAAGCTTGTTCTGGTGGCACCTGGACTCCTCTTGTGACAGACCTGGTTTAGATCTGGTGTTCTGAAGGCTAAACATTTTTATAGATGGTCCTTACTGTGAAAAGTTTGTTAATTTAAGCTGCAGTACATGAATGGGTCTGTGCTGGCCACAGCATCTTGATCAATTACATCAATTTACTGAATGTCTTCCCCATTTCACGCTATTCTGTTCTGTCTAATAAAGTCTACAGGCCGAAAAAGATCCCCAATGTTCTGCTTTTCTGATCACTGCTAGAGATTCAGTTTATTGGTGCCTTAGCATGTGGATGTGATTTAACTAAATGAAAACTGCAGTCAAAGATAGTATTTTCGGTTAGACACATTTATATAATAATAATTAGACATCAGACTTCAATCCACCCACAGTCCACCCAATTATGAGCTATATATTTAACATTTAAATAGTAGTTAAATAGTAAATATACAGCTCCTAATATAATTATAATTTATTACCATAATTGTAATTTTAGTTCAGAACTTCAGTACTACTGCAAAATTTTCATATGTGAGGTAAAAAAAAAAAGTTCAAATAACAAAATAATTTATCTTTGAATGCATTTTTACATTCACTGAAAGATTTGGTTTTGAGGAGAGGAAAACACAACAACAAATACCTATTTTTTAGTTTTATTACACCTATACATAAAAGTACAACCCATTTAAACCCTCTGGCATTGAGCACATATCAGGCCTCACATTACAGCAGAATGCAGGTGGGTTGTTTACACAGAACACATTTGGCATACAGTGCCTACTGGGCAAAGCCAAGACAAATAGACCACTTAGTTACTCATTGTTCCTATATGTGGCTACTCTGCATCCATTAAAGTAAATTGCTGACTGTAAACACATTTGATTCTCTGCTGAACATTTGTATTATCTTGGGTTTTGTTTTGCATAACCTAGATGTAACTTTGAACAATGTGTCTTTCGGACATGTTTCATCATTATCTTGTAACATATAGCAGTGATTTGCTCAGACCAAAATGGCAGTCCTCCAACGAGCTAATATCACAGTCCAGACTGAGGATATTCCACCAGTCCACTCTGACGATGAAAGAGGATCTGTTTGTTGGCAGGACGGCGAGGCGAGGAAGGGTGGTGTTCAGGGTGAGAAAATGGATAGACAAATCGAAAGCCATCAAGTGAGAGGGAAAGAAAGGAGCGAAGGCTAGGGAGGAATAAATATGGCTGAAGCTGTGCAAATGTTAAAGGAAAGCAGCAGGATGGGGAATCGCAGCAGTGAAGTACAAAAGTAGCTGGGTGAGCTTAAGTGTGTTTTTTGTGCTGTGTTTGCCGGCAGCGAATTTCAGAAAGACGGGTGCTTTCAAATCTAAGTGGGAGTGCACTTTAGAAATCTAATAGTAAAGATTACCAGGACCATAGTGATTGTGCTTTTGTATTCTTACCATGATTGACCTCTCAAAACCCTTCATCAACAACCAAATAGTAATGGTAAAATTCCTAGAAAATGTGAGTGTTTGTTCAGCAATACATAATTTTCTGTAATCGGTGGTCGGTGAAATAAAAAATATGGTCCAAACATGTTAGGTATCGGTATAGGTTTTGCAATGTGTTGTATTAAAACTTGGATAGAAGAATGACTCCAGTGCCAAGTGCTAGAACATGGCCTCATGTCTGTGTTAATTCGTATGAATAAACAGAGTCCAAGTGAGTTTACAATGGAGAGGATGAGCCGCGTACTTGATGGATTTTAGTGGAGGAACACAGTGCCTCTCGTGTGATGCTGACACTTTATTTTGGGCTTGGGAGATCTGTTTACCTCACTGTAAACATTTTAAGCCTGAAGAGATCAGTGTTGAACATCATAAATGGTTTAAAACATTGTTGGCAAAATTCTTGTCAAAATCTTTGTTGTATTCATGAATAGTGTTCATAAAGATGCATTTGCCAAAAAAATATTAAAAAGTTAACTATAGAGCCAAGGAATAACCTTCTTTATGGGTCACTGGTAAATATTTGTATACACTATTTTCAGAAAACTTTTGTGTGAAGGCTTCAGTTTTTCCAGCATTAAATCTCCACTGATTTAACATAAGGCTGACTGGAAAGATGTATGAGTTGTGACAGGACAATCCTTTTCCATCCAAGGATGTGAGTAACAACAGACTTAAAATAAAATCATATTTCTACAGAAGTCAATTCAATACAGACCTCCCTGGCAAACGTTCTATTTTTCAATTTTCATTCAAGTATATATATATTGATCTGGACACCATTTTATCATTTGGAAATGGTTCATTAATAATCGATGTACTGTGGCCAGAGACCACCCCTTTCTTGGCATTATCTAAAATGATGGGCTATAGTGACAAAGCCAATGAGATGTGAAATCAAGTTTGGACAATAGTAATGATAGATGTTTCCACAGGGCAGAAGTGTAACTTACACGTGTCCTGGTTATTGTCTCTAGGAAGCTCACTTGAAAAAGTCCATGTGCCATGTGTATAAAAAGACTTGCCAACACTGCAGCTTGTAAATGGAACCAGATGGATTGGATCATACAGGTTTTATAGGATTTTTAACACCTACAAATATAACCTTTTTAAGAGCAGACAAATCCTATGTGGATGCCCTGTCCCTCTGTGCCAAACATATTTAATTAGTTTTGGCAGAGAAACTGTCAGACCAGTGAGCAGCCTCGATCTCCTTCACACCCGTGCCCTCCGCTTTACTCTCTTGAGTTTCTAGACTATTTGGGTAGTGCTTGGCTTTGGGGGTTTCCCGTTGTACTCAAAGCTAATCCTTCCTCTGGGACACAAATGACTCATTTAGCATGAAAGAGTTAAGGAGACCATTATTCTGGGATTGCACTGGCTTAGATTGATGGGTAAAATCCAGGTAAAATTCATATGGTCTGTTCATTCATACATTCAGACATATTAAATATTGCCCCTGGAAGATTAAGTTTTTCAGTTGAAGCAAGAAACTTGATGGAATCTTCTGAACTCTGTTCAGAATGGTCCTTTGTTGGGGAATCAAACCCACAATTTTGATCTAAGGAGTGTGTACTGCGCCACCAGAGTTTTCATGTGTAGCGATGACAAGCCAAATTACATGGAGGACAACTCGACATCCTCTTCTGTCTATAGAGGTGATGAGTAGCACTGTGACATCAGCACTCTGCTTTAAATTAGAAGAGATAAGTGGACTTGACCACGGTGTCAGGTAACTAAATGGGCAATGTCTCCTGCAAGCCCTTCACCACTGCTCTGTCAATTGTGGAGTTACAGCGGACATTCTAATTTATCTGTTCTTTTAAACTCAGCAATGTGAATGATAATGCAAAATGCTTTTAAAACAAGGTACAGCAAGACAACTGAATAAGGCAAAGGGACCATATACCTGTCCAGACATTACTGTACACCAGTCTCTGTGAATGCCAAAGTTGTTGACAATTTTCTGTGGGATCAAGGATCATAAACATGCTCAATTCATTTTATGGTATTACACTTAAAGACATCACCAAAACAATCATCAGCCCCATGCAATCAAATGAGAGATTAAATCAACATATATTAATTGCATATTCTTAAACTGTCTTTGTCAACAGATTTACAACACAGCAATTACTAATATTGACAAAATTTGTATCACTAAAAAATGATATATGAATATAAGTTGGAAAAAAGACCTACTTGTCCCCATTGTTTTACCTACTTTGTTCGACTGCAGTGGGGACATTGAATTTGAGACGAATGTTTTCCAGACCTCATTTCTTTCACAAATCCTGTATCACCCCGGTGTTGTCTTACAAAGCTGTGGCAGTACCACAGCGGGTTGGCTTTCCAGATAAGGATACACTGTGACTTTTTTGTTTTGTTGAATCATGATCCTATAATGCATATTTATCTAATTTAATAAGGAACAATCAGAAAATCATGTTCTTCAGACATACATTTTGGTCACATGAATATAAGTGTTTCTGTGTGCTTTCCCAACAGATACAGACTACATCAGTGACGAGGAAAAACATAAAGTGGAGCTGATGTTGGCATTCCTCACCGAAGAGTCCAAACAAGCTGCTGCCAGTACTGCAGTAAGTACCAGAACTTGCTAAGAAAGAAATGCTTTTATTATTCTTCATATACAGTTAAAAAAGTTTTTAAAAGGTAAAAAAAGATGATCCCATTTCTTGCAAAAGCTTTATTCTGCAGAACAACTAAGACAAGCACTTTAGAGTCTCAAAGGTATCTCCAGACTCCAGAACACGAGAGGCCCTTCATTCCAAGTCAAAGTTAAAATGGTGGGGTTTTGAAACATTTAACATTGTGAATCTGGGTCTATCGCCCTTGAAGCTTAGCCTGCAGAGCACAGTGGTCAGTGCGACTTCCTCTACTTGTCATCCTGTCTGCAATGGGAACCCGATCGTTTACTCTCTCCTTTAGACTCACCACATAAACTGACCAGAGAGCAGATCTATTATTCATAAAGGAAAGGAAGAGGATGGGAAAGCCTAAACTCTCCATTAATTACGTTTTACTGTGCCATATTTGGAGAATACCGTTTCAACTCTAATCGTGTATTTAATTGACACAGTTTACATGTAATCATGTTTGGTTAAAAAGTAAAATCAAACCAAAAATGAAACCTCTTGTTTTATATAGGCAGACAGCATAAGCGCACATCAAGAGGCAGTAGTGAGTATATTATCAGAAACCTAATGGGTCTATTGTAAGCTCTCCCACTTGGAGCCTGGAATAGAAAAGTGCACTGGCTCTAATGGAAGGTTCACTACTTGATTGGAAATTATGAAATGAGATTTGTAGAGCTGTCTATCTTTGGTCGTTAAGTCAATTAATCTCTCGATTGCGCCTTATCAAATTTTCCTTAGTCGAGTAATTATGTAATCATTTGTTGTTATTTTTTTATTTTGTTATAGGAGTTTGTAAAAGCACAGAAGGCATGGAGTGAGTTGACTGGGGATTTGGAAATGAATCATGAATTGAATGTCCCTTTTAGATATGGCTTAGATATGGCTGTTCACTAGCACTTGTTTTTGCCTGAACTCCTGTGTGCTTGTGGTCTTGACTGCATTTTGGGTCAGATCATTGGGATTCTGAATCATGCCCTTTTTAGTTGACTAATTAATGCTCAGAGCACATCTTCAGTCAACCAAGTATTTTATTTTTTTAGTTTATTATGGTGTGGGTTAGTATAGGTATGGGCAGTACATCAGGTCATTGGTAGCGTTTGCATTGAGATTAGGGGAGTGTAGTTTGGTTGGTTAAATGCTACTTTATGTGAAGGTGGTGTGTGAATTGGTCTTGTGAGCAGAGCCACAGATTCCACCAGTTGGTTCAAGAGCAGCTGTGCCTACAATGTGCGGCTGGATGATATAGACAAACATGAATATCTTGATGTTTATTTGGATTATATCCTAATTACAGTATTCTGATATGGCAATCCATCAAAAATGTGCTAAAAGTGCCTGGAAATACTGTTGAAGTTCAAATATTGCACAAAATGTGAATAGTCTGGAAGAAGAACTAGAACATTTTTGATTTAATCATAGACCATTAAATATTCAATGTTTAAATTTTGTTATTGTAATACTATTCATTGTTCAATATATTTCTAAAATATATTTTACATGTAGGTGAATTTGCTTGTTAGAGACCGCAAAATGATCTCAGCATCACTCTGAAAAGGTAACGCTATATTTAAATTATGTATAAATGGAGTAGTTATCACACTAAAACAGTAAAACAACTACTCTTTAAAGGCTACAGCCAGGGGCAGCCAGTGAAATGAATAATGAATCATTCAGACTTTTACCATGGTAGGGTCAAACTGCCTTTGCTACTGGTGAAGCTGTTCTCAAGGGACAGCATTTTTAAAATGTTCCATATTTAAAAGAAATGTAAATGTATGCAAATGAACAGGTGTTGGGTTAAAGTAGAGAGACTGCACAGTTATGATTCACAAATGTACACAACATTACCTTTTTCAATCTTTTATAGTAAGGAAATGTCTGCAATATGTGTAGATAGTGAATGTAAGTTCACGAGGATTATTGACCTTCTAATGGGAAAAGGAACGATGTCTTTCATATATGCTGCTGGGAAGCTCCCGGCGTGATGTTTTGGTTCAACACTGAAATGTCAGTGACACTTGTTGGTCACTTCAAATTCATATTGTAGGATTCCTGGCTATTTACACAAAGGGATGTGACACAAGCACAACTTTTTGCAACAACATTTTTATATTATGAGATCCATATGTGCTTTATTGTCTTTACAGAACACAATAAAACAACACCGTTGTTTTTCTTTCTCAACAAAAGTCTAATATAAACTAAATAAAAAATGTCAAATGTGTGTGTGTGAGCGAGCAGGAACGATGAAGCCCTGAAGAGACAGTGCGTGCCTCTGTCTTATGTGTGTACCTTATAAACAGTAATCTAATTCTCAACAGTGAAGTGAATGCCACCTTAAGATGCCAGCATTTTATTAAATCATTAGGCTGTTTGAAAAGCTGTCAGATTGGTTAGGTTCACGTGTTTGATGGCTGCTTTGTGCTTGTGTTTCCATAGACGTTCGTAGTCTTTGCTAAGATTTATCCTCAACAACTACGCTCTTGCATTACACAGGCTTTAGTCCAGGATTAAAACCCTGTTTACACACCTCGTCCAGCACTTTTACGTTGGTCAGAACAACAGGTTTGGATGTCACGGCAACCCAGTGCTCCTCACCTGACGTCTAAGCTCTAATCATTTTTTAAAAAGCGGTGCAGTGTATACAGGTGGGAGAGGTAGCAGAGGTGATGGTGATGGCAGTGTGTGATAGCCAGGCTTGGGTCTTGTTTGTGAGCACTGCATGTGTACACAGTGTTCTAGAGAAAGGCACAATAATCTGGTATCTCATGACAACAAAGGGGGTGACCTTTTTGGGAACACACAGGGCTGGTGAATGGTGAAAGCTTTATTTTCTATAGAAGTCTCATCAAGTATCATCCAGCACATCCAGCTTGTACATGTTTGAAGTGCAAACCAAAGTTTCCATATTTAATATATTTTAGAAGAGAGATTGTGTACTTTGTGATATATTGCTCTGAGACACAACCTCAGGTCACGTTTCCATTACGGAAGCATCTACATTTGTTATCATCTCCCCAAGAGTGCGGCCTTCGGGTCCCATTACCGACCAATCAAAACATGACATGAGAAAATAGGCTCTGAACTAGAAGGTCAGCATAGGGGAAGAAGAATCGTTACTGCCTTGTTTAGATTCTTTACTTCACTTGCACTCTACCAAGTTATTACACCATCTAATTCTTCTAGCAATGTAATGTAAAACCACCAATAATGTTTGTCCTGTTATAAACTGTAGATGAGATTGTTCAATATTTATAAGGCACACCTATAATCATTTATGCAATAGAACAACATGTATTGTAATCTCATCTAAACAGCACTTTGTTAATGAAGTGCTGAGACCAGTGTTTATTCTACTGATAATTAACAATGATTTGCTTGACCAGAAAGTCAGTTATTCTTAGCATAAAGAAAAATTATCTCTTTATTCTCATCTGACCAAAAAAGAACCACATAAAAATAGCTTTGAGGTTGTAGATAACCTTTAATTATTGGACTGTGCTAATCTGATGATATGAAATAATATTGTGAAATTGTAAAAGGGTGCCAGTGAATTCAAAGACACTTACCAAGTTTAATGAGAAGGTGCTGACAGTGACATTACAAGTATTAAATATTAAATGTAGACTCTCATGTGAAACAGACTTTAATTATGCTGGGTTTCGTTCATGCAAGCCTCTATGCAGTGTCAAACAATGGATCTGAAGACCAACCTTTCCCCGCTCATATTCAGAATTACAGGTAATCCATTCTGCTTCAGTGGATCACATTATCGGGCCTCTTTGTGCGCTCATCATGACTTTGACCGGGACACTGACCTTTCCTCCTCAGATTTGCTCCACTCTGCATAATTACATGCTCAAGGAAGAGGAAAGTTCAGGTTTTTAATTATAAAGCACAAAAAGCCTTGGAGTGAGCAGCAAAACAGCGTAATGACCTAGATTATGATCATGATGTTAAGATGGCTATAGTGATTTTTATTCTGACATACATTAAACAGATGTTCTCTCAAATGTATTTCATTGAATTTGTTTAAGAAGACATATAATGGAAAATAGACTTTCAAGAGCTTTTAATCTCATAATTGTTTTCCCTTCTTATTTACCCACTCAAAGTTGTATTTAAAGTCCTTCATGCATTGAGTAATCTCACTTCACCTCCATTCAAGACTCTAACCTTGTGCAGCAAGATGGATTCTCACAATATTTCTGAGTTCACAAACTCATGAGAATCCATCTTGTAGTACGTCCACTGTAAGGTTAATTGGATTGGTGGACCAATCACCGAACAGCATTGAGGTTTGTGCTTAAGTCAAAGGGGTGAGGCACCTAAACAAACTAAACACATACAGCAATATTGACAGACGTACTTCAGCTTCATTTTGTTTGTGAAAAATGTGCAAAACGTAAGCGCTTAGAGCATTTGTGGACAGATGCCTGTCCTTTTCTCTTTTCTGCAAGTAACAAAAGTTAAATTTTTTGGTTTGTTCCCCTGATCATCATCAACATTATCAATCCCAGATTGATCCCAGATTCCAGATTGATCCCAGATTGATTCCAGATTGATAATGCGTACAACTCAATTCAGAGTGATACACATTTCAATCTGGCATTAGCCAGGTTATCAAGACTCCATTGCTCTGACAAACCCTGTTCTCATGTTTCCCGGTACATGCCCACTGCTCTTTGCTTACTTAGTTGAATGCTGAACTGTATGCAGTGTGGTACTTTGTTGTAATGATGTTTGTGTACTGCAAAGAGCCAGGTGGAAATCAGCACCAGTTTTCAACCAGATGATTGCAGACCTAGATCAAGATCAAGATTGAGATTTAAAATATCTAAAATTATCCACAGGTGCCATAAATTGTCCATATAGGAAACAAAAGTATCCTATGCACTTAATTGACTGACATAGACATTTTTAGCTTGGGCAACAACTGTTTT